ACTGCTGATGTCGAATAATGTGAGTGAATCGTATGCTTCCGAAGTATATAAATTTTAGAACCATATGTGTTTTTATTGCACTTATAACTGTTTGTTCAATATAGTATCGAAATTTATTAGAGCTGTAAGTATGGGACAGACTAATTTAAAGACAACAGATTTGGTTTCCATAAATTTTCCTCGTGGTATTAGCGATTTTTAATTTCCGTGTTAAGTATACTTATACTGACTATATGTCATATGAATGCGATTTTAATAATATATGTGCTATTATAAATATTTATAGACTGGATATGTGAGAGAAAATGATATATATATTTTTATTTACCAGAACGGTGTTAGGAATATTATTGACAAAAAATTAATGTGGCGCATTTCGACCCTTTTTAAGACTTCATCAGACTAAAGTGATGTTTACGTATGCACACGAAGGAGAGGACTCCCTGAAATTTAATTTAATTTTTTTTTTTTTAAATTGGACAAATATTTTAAATATATTAATTGTATAAGTTATGGCGATTTTTTTAATGCAGCTTGGATATGGCACAAGGCCGAAAGTATGAGCTACCCAGTGAGGGACGAACTAACTACTAATGGTTTAGTGAGACAAGCTTCCTAACTATTAGGCCACATCAAAGCGCCCAGAGTATTGGAATTTTCTAAGCCTAGTTTAATTGCGGGGCACCCAGTGAGGATCGAACTCACTACTCAGTCGTAATTGATCTAGCGGAACAAGCTTGCAAACGAATTAAACCACGTCAAAGTGCCCAAGTTGTAAATTATGGATAAGCATGCATAAAATTCAGCATGAAACCGCGTGTTTAACATATGTTTTTATTTATTGCCTATATTTCTAACCTAATGCGTTTACATTTGCACAAATTTTGTTGCGAAAAGCATATGTCCATCTCTGTTCCCTACCGCCTATTTTAAAAAGCAAGGTAGACTGGTTTCTCAAACTTTGGATGACATCCAGTCTAAGAAAAAGAAAAGTTTGGATTACAAACAATGGAGAAGGAAACAGAGAACCACTTCTCTATCGTTTCCAAGCAATCAGTGCAATTTAAATATAATAGTGATTTTCCAAGCGTAGCGTAGATGTGGCATAAGGCCGAAAGTAGGGGTCACCCAGTGAATATCGAACTCACTACTCAGTGGTAATTGTTCTTGCGAGACAAGTTTGCTAACTTTTGCACCACCTGAAGTTGGCCAATTTCAAAGACAATCAACGAAAATGAATATAGAGAGTCGCCTACATCGTGAAGAAATGTGGCATGTTTTCAGTCGTATACGAAATTATACAATCATATAGAAATATTATGCGAATAAGGATTTGTATATATCAGTGTATTTATTTAAGTGCAGATAGATAGATAGATAGATAGATAAGCGTAATGTTCGTATGATTAATATATATATATATATATATATATATATATATATATATATATATATATATATATATATAATTTTGTAAAACATGAAACAAAGTAGGAAAAAATAGTTTATGTTGTCTTTGACTTCATCAGTTCAACTAAAAGAAGATAAAACTATACGTTGGAAGAGACTTAAACACATCATTTTCACTTTCGTTACGGATACTATTATATGTCCAGCCAACACGGATATGTGGGTGTGTGTGTTAGTGTAAAGAAATACGAATTCATATGCATACATGTATAAACAAGTACAAATTATTAGAGTGTAGACGCATAGATTTAGATATAGGTATACGTAGCGATGTCAAGCGTTTGTTTTAAAATATTTCAAAGACACACAGACATATATATATATATATATAGAGAGAGAGAGAGAAAGCGAGAGAGAGAGAGAGAGACAGACAGACAGACAGACAGTGAGAGCAAACACGTGAATATATCTGCATATATATTTAGTAAACATGTAGTGGTTATATATATATATATGTTAGTAAAATATATATAGTATCATACAACGCCATTTATTTATATTTACTCACTTTAATATATATATATATATATATATATATATAGAGAGAGAGAGAGATAGATAGATAGATAGATAGATAACATATTGTGTATATATTTATATATAGATAAAGAGAGTAAAATTATTGGATATACATATATACATATAAAATACACATACAGTTGTTGCGTGAATATAACTAAAAAATATTGGTAAGCGTGTGTCTATATATAAAAATGTCTGTATGTAAATATATATATATATATATGAAAAGGGCATAGATATATATGTATATATTTATTACAAATGAATTTATATATTAAATATATCTTTCAGCGTATCTGTATATATATATATATATATATATATATATATATATATATATATATATATTTTTTTCCCCATATATATATAGTAAAATTATTGTGTGTACCCACATGTATACATAAAAAATATATTTACATGAAGAAAACGTGCATATATATATATGCATATAGCCAAACATAAATATAGTAATGCATATAAATTTACAAATGTATATATATATATATAT